TGAAAATGACCCCCAAAGATTTCAATTTCTAAATTAGGTATTTGTCTTTAAGAACAACTAAAGCTGTTCGCTTGAAAAAGTGAAAAATACCAATTTCATTAATAAAGAGAATTCCCTGAATTTTATATTTGACAGGATGCAAATGTGTATTTTTTATATTTTCAGTGTGAGACATTTTAAGGGGAAGAATTTTCACATGGTTGGTGTTCAACACTTTATAAATTAGTATTATTTAAGATCCATGAAGCTGTGAAAATCAAAATTCAGTTACTTCTGAGAAAAACCGACCCACAATTTGCTGACACTTACGCAACGATATAAACACTCAAGAGATTTCTGTATGTGTTCTGCACATAAACAAAAATAAAACCATGGTTCTCTTTTATCTCATTTTCTTGTCTCTATTTTTCATTTTTTTTTCTTTTCTTTTAATGCCTTACCTCTAGTTCATTTTGTAAGTAGCTTTCATTCCATGGACGCCACCAAACAGCCAATCAACTATTTGAGCATAAACCATTGCCTACTAGACTGTCATCAGCACAAAGTCCCCCAAATAATAAATGAACTTTTTATTAACTGTGGTAACATTAACATTACAATGAGGGATTGTTTAAAAACAAGTTGTACTGCTGTTGCTCAAGAGCTCAAAGAAAATGGTTCTCAGTTCCTTTATTTTTTCTTGAGAGTAACCACAGGGGTTGCATTAAATCTTTTTAAATATGTTGACAGTTGAATAAGTGCTGCTGTTGCTCTGGTGACATTTTATGCTTTTTAATTGTCATTAATGAAGCTGGCTGATACTTTCTTAAAAGTGCTTTACATGTTCTAGTAATTTTATGACAAAAAGAGGAACAAAACCGTCTGCAAATTAGCCTTGATCCACTTCTCATATGGAATTTTCACTGGAGACAATGGGAGAATCTGCATGGGAAACATCTGCTTGACCATTTTAGGTAGGAATGCATGAAATGTTCCCAGTAAACTGTGAAATTATCACTTGGTTGTGTGTCTCCATATAATTTCAAAGCTCAAAGAAGATTATTTTGAGTGTATTTTCAAAAATAAATACTGGAACTGCCTTGACAGATTCAGAATACGATGTTAAAATGCTAGGACCCAACATTTTAGAGTTGTAGTAAAACCCAAAATGTAAATGTGAGTTGGAATGAAATTAAGGTCTGTCACTATTCTGAAGTCTAATAACTCCCTTCTTATTCTAATAATACTTCCATTGATTTGCAAAAGGTTTTGCCGCTGAAAAGACTGAAGGATACAGCTCCCAATTATCTGTTCAGGAACAGGCAGTAACAAGGAGGAGTGCACGTAGCCTGAGAAACAGCAGGCCCTATACTTGAGAGTTCATAAACAGATAAGGCCTTTTGCTACGGAGCAAAAATAAACTATGGTGCTTTAAATTATGAGAGCTGATTTAAGCAGATTAAGGAAGATCTACTGCGAGGATGAGGGGAGCCAGAAGAGGTAAGGGGAGGGGGGGGCGGAATAGTAATAATGTAAGGAGATGTGTCAAGTTTTTTGTTTCCCCCCTCCTGGGTTCCCTGGCTCTTGCACGCTCCACCTAACACAGCAGATGATTCCCCAACACTTCTGCACCACGGGCTTCACATCTTTGCAATTTCAGAATCACAGAAAGCTATAGCCACCTTTCGTTCTTCAACTCCAGTGGCTCTTCGAGTGCAGATGTACAAATATTGATGGTTCCTGGCACCACAGTTAAATGGGACAATGAGGTCACGACAGATCATTCCAAGCAAACCAAGAACGCCTTGGCTTGACACTCTGTAGGCCATGTGTAACCTGTACAAAGCTTGCAGTTCATCTCCAGCCTCGCCTTTCCTTCCAGCGGAGTCAGAGGCTAGACAAGACGCAAAGCAATGGAAATCAGGCCTCGGGGTTCTGCACAGCACTGCAATTTTTCGGATACTTGGAGTGCAGACAGCAGTAGGTTCCACACTCACGTCAGACACACATTTAACAATCTCAGCTAAGTCATGAACTACATTTTAATTAGACAAGGGGCCAGGCTTTTGATTTCAAAAATAGAAATTAGGGTTGCAGTCCTTCATCCGTTCAAGTTAATTGCAAAATCCCTATTATCAGGCTCTTGAGGTATTACCCGGGCTTACTTTTTAATTACATTTGATTCTTAATGAAGTAGATGACAAAGAGAAAAGCAGCCCATGATTCAAACGATTCACATTTTTATCTTTCCTGATGAACAACAGAATAGGTCAAGATACTTGCTGGATTTTCCCATGAGAAATGCTGTGATGTGAATAAGCTCAATTGACTTGATCCTGAAGGAGCAGGTTAGCTTTGAAAGGCATCACTCATTTTCTCCTCCTGTATACATTCTACCCCCAAAACTTATGCAGTGTAATTACAGACACCAAGCCAAATCCAATTCAAAACTTGAAAAATATCATGGTAAGTATCCTAAGATTGAATGACTTGTCTTTATTGTCTAATGTCATTTAAAACATAAGGAGTCCTAATTATAGTCTTATTTTCAAATGATGCACTTTAAAAGAGTGACAATTCTCCATAAAAACTGACAACTTCTCAGAGCATGGAGACAGCCAGTAACTTGATATTTCCACATGATTTAAAGATAATAAGTTATGAAGCAGCTTATGTAGAAAGAGTATGTTATCACACTTGGCTAGAGAATAACAATGTTTCATCTTTTTCTCTTATATCAGTACCCATGTAAATAAATGAAGATTTATAGAACAGAAGTTCATACTTCAGGTGGGTCCATTACCTTGTTATCTACAACAACCTGCAAACTCTTGTCACATACTGAAAGCTGTTTCTTACCATCTGGAAATCTGGCTTAAAAATAAAATTACTGGGTTTATATTACACAAAAAGCTCAGCCCTTTATTTCAGACATTACTTGTCATATTACAAAATACAGAATTATCTTCTCACTTGTATGACTTAGAAAGACACATTAAAAATCAAGGACTTTAAAATACAATAACTTTTTTAAAGGTTTGAGATAAATATTTGAGAAAGTAAAATGTCCATTTTCAGAGAATCAGATAGTATTGCAAGGCTCTGGTGACTTTCTCCTAACTTTCACTGGCTAGTGACTCAGTTGTTTTACCCATGCAAAGCATCACTTTAAAAATCAAGGAGAGGACACAGGCCATGGTATCGCAGAAGCAAGCTGAGATAGAGGCACCCCCGAGTGTTACAGGCAGGAATCAGAGAGCCAGGGCTGTGTCCCCAGGGCTTGTGTGGGGTGCCAGCTCTTTGGGCGCAAGAACTTCACCAGACAAAGCAGCTGCTGTGACATAAAGCTGTCCTAACACTTTTTAAAGGAAAGAAAGCCAATCTCCTTTAAGAGAGGGACAGAGAACTAAGGTTTCAATTCACCCAGCCCAAGGTTTAGGAGTTTTTGCTCCGTGGGTGGTTCTCTGTTCCAGACTTGCATGATACCTGTGACAAGCCAATGGACAAAACACAAATTTCTTGAGTCCAGGTTAAAATCATTTGCCCCGTATTACAATTCTTTCCCATTCACAGGGTTCAGTACCACAAAATCTGAACACTGCCTACTTCATGCTCATACCAGAGATCAGGGGAAGACTAAATTACTTTTAAGGCCACCATGGACAAGCTGTGGAAATCTGAACGAGCCTGTTCTGTGTAACCTGTAGCTGTAACACACATCTGCAGCCACACTTGCCTCTGTGTTGAGTTGTGCTGAATCCGTACCATCCACATTAAGTCAGCATTATTTAAGCAAGGAAAAGAAACTCCCACCTACTTCTTCATTTAGCAGTTCTCTCTTGGAAGACAATTTTTACTATTGCTTTTACTGGAACCATGCCAATTTACACCTATTAAGTATTACACTTGTAAGTTTAGGGCCATACACTCTACAATACACAATATCTTGTACTTGTTCAGTCTGCTGACTGGTATTTGTGGAAGGTCTAACTTGGCAGGTCTCCTTGCAGATGTCTCTCAGACTCAAGAGTACATAGTTACAATCATTACAGCAAATAGCAGTTTGAGATACTTACTAGCTACAATTATTTTTCAAGTGACCCTTTAAAGGCTATTCGGAGCACACAGAATATTCCCATGGCAGGACATGGCCTTTGCAGGGCATCCCTGTACTCGTGAACCATAGACAGTGCTGGTGCAGGCAGTAAGAAGCCCTCATGTCTCAAAGAAAATCGCAGAAAAGGCAGAGGGCTGAAGAAAGACAGTGTCCGTGGCTAGCGACAGAACATTTCTGCCCAAATTTAACAGAAACTGTAATCCTGAAGAATACACACATTTTGAAGTTGTAACTAAAAACAGCATATAAGACATTTAATACTAGAAGAATAAGCTACCTTACTATTAAAGTAATACCAGGGTAATTGCAGCAATAAGGTACTGCTCATCACTTCAGAGGTAAAAGCAGTAAAATAATTTTTTAAAAATTAAATAAGAATTTTGATTACTTTTTTACAGTATGCAGGCATCAGTGATTGCTATGGGCTCTGTACATCCAACACAGTGTACAAAGTACACAAGGAATGACATTTGGTCAAAGGGCTCCAAGCCTGGCTAACTATCTTGGTAAACCTTCAGGCAGCCTGATTTTCAGAGTATAGAGTGCCTCAGTAAGGTCCTGAACTAAAACAACTCAAATCATTAATAACTTCCACTACATGCCCTATGCTATCATATTTCCCAAACAAAACTGAGGATAAGAAATAAAAGCTTTAGTTGTAAGTAAGCCACAAGAACTCTCAAAATAAATGGAAGATATTATTAATTACGTGCCTATAGGTACAGTAGCAATGAACTTCAGGTAAAAATCAAATTGAGGCTGACAGGTACCTCAGCAACACAAACCAAAAATGACAGTTGTGGACACAGATCAAAAAGTCAATTTCTAGTTAGTTACTGAATTGCAGGGGAAGAAGAAAAAACATTCTTAAGCAAATGTTATGACTGAACATCTTCTTTCTTACCATTGAATGTTAAAAAGACCCTTGCTTGAGGCTGGGAAGATCCTTTTACACTGCTAAAGTAAATAAATATCCCAATCAACACGTGCAGCACTAGAAATGCCATCTCTTCAGATCTGCAACTTAATATCCAAGAAACGAAACCTGAAAAACAAAGATATCCCATTACTGTTGTATACAATTTCATAGAGCAAAAATTGTACTACAGGAAGATCTGCGTTAGAAAACTCTTCCAGCTAAAGCCATAATATATGATAATGTGAAAGAGGTACAGTACTTCTGTTTTTCCTTTGTACCTCTGCAAATGGTCTTCCCGAGTGGTCTTCTGTGCTGGCACCAAAGGAGGTCCCTGCCTGTCAGTACCAAGCAACCGAGTCTGAGTTTTGGCTAAGGCAGACAGATTATAGCAATAGATTCAGTTTATTTAAATAAGCACAATTCCACCTGCTGGAAAAATAATTATGCTAAATGTCAAGGCAGAGCAAAGCAGGGACAGGAGATAAAGTTTCACAAATAAAAAGCTGGCTGATATTTTCAGATGTCTCTCCTTATTTTACATCATATTTGATCCTCCTCTCATGTTTGGGGAGGTGAGGGGGACAGATTTCAGTTATTGTTTGTGGGTTTGGTGGGATTTTTAACTTTTCTTTTAGCACTTGAAATCAAAGATGCTTGTATATGAGTTTTAAGTTTTAGTAAGCTGAGTTCTCTAATAACCCTCTAGATCTTCTTTTAAGATGAAATCCTGACTACATACCTCACTAATTTCAAAATCATTGAAACCAAAAGTATTTCAACATGCTTGAAACTATTAGTCAACATTTGCTTACTGAGCTATGTCCTTTCAGGATACTTCCTTGCTCTCACAGATTTCCACAGAGCACTAAGAATACCCAGTGTTGGACAGTGCATTACATGTGATATGAACAGACTGCCCTGAGAGGTTGTGGAGTCTTCTTCTCTGAAGACATTCAAAACCCCCCTGGATGCATTCCTGTGTGGCCTGCTCTAGCTGATCCTGCTTTGGCAGAGGGGTTGGACTAGATGATCTTTCGAGGTCCCTTCCAACCCCTGACATTCTATGATTCTGTATGATTCTGTGATTCTGCTACACCTGCACATCTGCTGAATCTACATTCATTTTACTTTGAACTAGACCCATAAAACTCAGCAGACATTAGAAGCTGAATATTGCATATCTATAATGCCCCTAAACTGCATCTCTCTCCAAAAAGCATGAAGTCTAAATTTAATTTTCAACTTTGTTCTTCAGCTCAGCTGCAAAAGCGACAATAAAACACATCCTTACAGATATTTTTTGTCTTTGCTATCAACAGCCCTTCTACTAGACACCACTTTTTAGTTAATCAGGTGATATATTTGACTCTGTGGTAACTGGAAGCACTTTGAAGAGTACAACCCCTACAGCTAGAAGATTGCATTAAAGGCTATACATGTATTTCACGAAGAGTTTTGTTGCCTGTGCAACCAACCATCTTACATTACTTTACCTCAGCTCTGCTCTAGCACTACAGTCCCTCCAGTGGAAGCCGGTATTTCTACATGCTTGTTCATTCAGTCCCTCTGAGATTCACACCTGTCCTAGAAGAACCGGCTGTAACCATCACAGCATGGCAGGAACCAGCTGTCAGGCAGGGATGACTTTAGGTCAGCACTAATTTGGGCTGGATCCACACCACTGACTTAGCGGTAAAAGCCCCGTATTTCATTACTGCCCCTGTCATTCTCTACCCACTCACTGTAAATCGTTTTGAAAGGCTTCTCTCTGCATGAGAACTTCAACCTAAGTTGGGGGTGGGATGGAGAGTGTGAGAGCAAGCACACAGCTCTGTAGCCCACACTCTAAACTCTCCTTCACGATTTGCTCCAGAGTACTGAGAAACGCGTGAAGATCAAGAAATGCTACAAGTCTGCTAACTGACAAGAACACTAGCCTCAGAAATTTGCCAGCTACAGATCTGCTCTACAGGAGAAACACATCCATTTTGGCTCAGTTCCAAATTATCTCTAAGGGTCTGTTAACTAATAAAATGATAGCTGCGCCAAAAATAATTTTTAAACAGGCTGCACGAACTCTAGTGTTAATGCTGCTTTGTGGGCATTGAATTTAAAACCTTGTGACTAGCCCATGGGATATCCTTCAACGTACTCCTAAGAAAGAAATACTATTAAATCCTGATAAAATTTCTTTGTCAGGTCCAAAACAAATAGCCAATCATACAGAACATGTGATTTAACAGATGCAATGGGATTAGTACTTTACAGTAGTAGCACTATGTTTTCTTTGCAATAGAGATTAAAAGTCAAAGAAGAACAAGTGTGTGGCTTTCTCCCTTTAAATGACATTGTAGAAAACAATAATAAAACAACCTCGTTCAGCACTCTTTTCCTCCCACTCTTATGCCTCTTGCCAATTCTAGTGCAATCCGTTGCAGGAGTGAAACATTGCTACATTTCACTGCTCAAATTGCAGATCTTCACCATTAACACAGAAGTGACAGGCAAATACAAGACTGACATTGAACTGCGTGAGTCCTACCCAGCTGTTAGACACATAAATAATAAATGCACATGGTGCCAAAAAGGTACCGCAGGGTGTCTGACATGTGAGGTACCTCATGGAAACGGGTTTAATTTCAGAGATTTACATACCTGGTAACTAATTAGCACAAACTCCTTGCAGGTTGGACTTTCAGTTTGGGCATATATCCCAGTTCTGAATTTATCTCAGTAAGTCATGATACTATATTCAGCACGTCCTGTGCACATGATCTCTGCTGACAACCCACAGACCTAAAACCTTGCAAGTACTTTTAAAGAATCTTTTAGGACAGACAAAAAGCAGTATCTAATTACATTCCTAATTCTGCCTGTAAACAAACCAGCAAACCGCTGCTAAAGTAAAGTGGTGAAGTTTTTCTGCCACGGAGGTCGCTTTCAGCATCGCTGTGTTGCTTTCGGAAGTATTATACAGCTTTGCTGCAAAGTGCTGCGCAGGTGTCATCCACTACAGGCTAAGTCCTACCCTTAAGCCTTCTAAGGAAAATCATTCAGCAGAAAAAAGGAAAGAAAGAATGCGGGGGGAAAAAACCCGCCAAACACAGACTGTGCTAATCTGGAAAACAGTGCTTTAACTATCTGTGAACAGCAGGAAGATTCAACCATCAGACGCATTTCACATGTAATACAGCAAAGAAAGAGAACTTTCAATTATGCTTACCCAGTTATTGGAGGAACCAGTCACACAGATTTCTATCTGGTTTCTATCAGTTTATGGACTCCACTCCTGCTACCAGGACATTTTAATTCCAAACCTGGCTCATAGCGGGGGAAAAAATAATAATCATAAAAAAAATAATAAAGAAAAGTCTCTCTTCCCGGTGGCTGCGAATTCTCCCGGCTCCTTTGTAAAATAATCCTTAGAGCTGGACTCCTAAGGCACCAGGAGCGCTTCTCCCCAGCCCTGAATTAAGCACCTA